CTTCGAACATATCGTCTTTGTAATAGTCTTGTTAAAATCCCCATTAAAAACACTACTTAGAGTGTCATTTGCAAGCCTGTGTCTTCAAATCTGTATCTTTTATCAATATATTTCCATTTCTTACCCGACTGTTAGCTCGAAGTGAATAATCCCAACCGGAAATACGACAGAAAACCGTCAAAACAATTCGAAGCTTGTATCGTATTACCCTGCAAAGGCCAGAAATGGATTCGCAAGGTCAAATTGCACCTACGCGCGTGAGTTTGACGTCATCCCGGCCAAAGGAGCTTCTTATTGGCCAATTATTGCGCAATGTACGCAAGTGCGAGTAAAACCCGCATCTTGAAAAATTCAAAATAAATATTTCTAGTCGGCGTATACATACAAAACTTTGTACACGAAAGCGCTTGCATACAAAGAGTATATTACACATATAGCCGTTCTGCAAATGTCGAAAAGTTCAAGGGGTAGTCAAGATCTTGTGGATATGAAATTTAGAATCTTTGGCCAAGCGGTGAGTCAACCTCGTACCCAGGGCCAGTCGTGAGTTGAAGGCAAGGACGATATTCACGTCCTTGGGCGAGGAGTGTGATGTACTTGATGTAAGAACTTTAGATTGAACTCGGCCCAGGCTTCCACGTTGCAATATAAAACGCGGACACATTTGTTTTGGCGGCCATATTTGAACTTAGAGCTGGAGTAAACTTAGTAATTTTTGAACTTAGAGCTGGAGTAAACTTAGAGCTGGAGTAAACAAGTTATTTGGAGTGGAGTAAAGCCTTAGATGTATGTATTCTGCTGTATTAGTTCGTCAGTTGTCCATTTATTTGTTTAAATATTTGCAATTTGTGTACGATATTTGTTCCGTTTATTTGTATAGTTTTCACCGTGGTTGTACGAATTAAAAGCCTTTTTATAATTTCGTGTTTCCTTGGTTGACACTTTGTTCCCTCCCTGGGACACAACAGGGGGTAACCGCTGGAATATTCTGGTCTTCAGTTTTACTAAAAGAAATGCGCTAGCTATCTAGTGTATATATAAGATATCTATGGGAAAATCATGTTATGTCTATTAGTCCGTGTGTTGTGAGTGACCTCGATAAGTGCCTAGAAAACGATTTTCATTAAGCATGTCTTTTACGGGAACTAACACTTCGAACACGTTGAATTCAAATCCGAAAAGTTCCCACTCCGTAAACCCGCAGTTTTTTCACAGAATGCTATTTTATCTTCACCAATTTCACAGCAAATTTTTTCATTGTTTAACGACACGGATCTAGATTAGCCCAGTTATGGTTATTACGATTAGCCCAGTTACAGTTATGGTTATTACGATTAGCCCAGTAGATTAGCCCAGTTATAGTTTTGTCTAGATTAGCCCAGTTATGGTTATTACAGTTAGCTCTTCACCCACTCAAATGTTTCTTTATTATTTATTAAATGTGCTGTATATATTTTGGGTGAATAATTAATAAATTGAACTGAATTGAATTGAATTGAACGGATCGATGACGATACATGATTATGGCATGTTGTTCTTGAAAGGGATTATCCGAAACGCACCACGTATAAAATTGAATCCATATTAAATTCATATATCAATATATTTTCGTACAAAACATCGCTTTAAAGGTGGTTTCTATAGAAACAATACAAATACATTATACACTACGCTACAAGAAACAAATTACTTTACAAATACATAGAAAACAGGACCAAAAACATGCAAATGTACCTGACGTTTGCCCTTCGTAATCCGAACAAACAATCAAAAAATATAAAACCAACATGTGTTTTTATCACGTGACGTCCTACCCGCTCGCAGGCGATTAGGCCCTACTTTTCGGGTTAGATCCTACAAACCGGCCCCTATCGAGTATAAACATAGTCGATATACCAAAACACAAGGATCTACGCCCAGTAACTGGAACAAAGTACGAGTTCGATTGGCTTCGTTTAACAACAACAAATAAATAAACGTTTGTATATACCAGACGTTGCGACTATTCGTCGACTTCTTTCGCTTCTTCGACTAGGCACAGTTCACGGACATGTCTCTTAAATTTCCCACCATTCGATCTCATCATAATTTGACGCACCATTCCGTCCTTATCTGCAAAAACTTCCCCGACCACTGAACATCTCTTATCCACCATTAACACCAAATCTTTGACCTTTAAGTTCCTTCTGGGTTTCAGCCACTTCTGGCGCTGCTGCAGACTAGGTAGGTATTCACAAAACCATCGTTTCCAAAATGTGTTAGCTAGAAGTCGAGCTTGTCGCCACCGCTTGCTATAACGATCTTCACCAACGAACACGCCTGCAGGAAGACACGAGTTTGATCTCAAGAGAAGCAACTTGCTTGGAGTTAATGGGTCCAAATCACATACTTGACCTTGGTTACGATTCAGGGGGCGATCGTTGAGAATTCTTTCCACCTCGACTAAGAACGTGAGAAGTGCTTCGTCATCAATAACCTGCTCGCTTGTCAGTGCAGTTAATATTCTTCGGATTGATCAAATCATGCGCTCCCACATTCCACCAGTGTGACTTGCCAAGGGAGGGTTGAAATGCCACGTGATTTCTTTCATTCGTAAATGATCGTTGATCTTGGCTTGAGACCCCACTGACTGAATATTCTTGAACTCTTTGTTCACGATTCTTGACGCTCCAATGAAATTGGTTCCATTGTCACAAAAGATTTCCTTCGGAACCCCTCGACGGACTGTGAAGCGACTGAATGCACAGAGAAACGATTCTGCATCGAGAGAATGTGCGACTTCTATGTGAGCTGCCCGCATGGCCAAACAAGTGAAGATGCATCCGTATCTCTTGACTTGACTTCGACCTCTCTTCACCATCAAAGGACCAAAGTAATCGACTCCCGTTGGCGCGAATGGATAATCTGGAACAGTTACACGAGCTGCTGGTAAAGGCGCCATTATCTGTTCACAGGGCGACGCGTTTACCAATGATCCATTGAATCCTGGAACACCCTTGGAGGATCCAAAATTCACGCTGAATAGCCGATAAAACAGTACGAATGCCCGAGTGTCCTTCTTGCTCGTGCCGTATTAACAGTTCTACAATGTGGTGCTTGCTTGGAATGATCGCGGGATGCTTAGCGTCAAAACTTATTGATGCTCTATCCAATCGGCCACCAACTGTTAATCGACCGTCGTCTGCGAGGAAAGGTGATAATGCTGCCAATTTGCTGGATTTCTTCACAACAATTTTGGAGGTAGATTGACCGGTCGATCTGCGTTTAAGACGGATAATTTCATCGGGAAAGGCTCCCTGTTATACGTAACGAATAAGTTGTTTCCTTGCATTTTGTAAATCATCGACTGTCAAAGGCCCTACGCCGGCCCCAGTGACTTCGTCACGGGAACGAGTACTTATGTCCGCTTGCGTTCCATCGTTCCAGAATGTCAGTACTGGGTACGAAAGACAAAACAATTAAAATGCGTGTGTGCAAATAATTCAAATTCTTACCCTCGAAGCCAAGTTCTTCAATCAGCTGGTTAACTGCTGTCAATTTTGCGTCTTTCTTAAAATAGTCCGGGTTCTTGCTATCGTACAAAACTTCTCGCTTACTCCATGCATATATCAAAAATTCAACTTCTCCATTGTCAAAAACATAAACGTTTTTCTTCTTTTTGTTTGATTTTGTCTTCGTCACACTTTGTACAGAAGGATTAACAATTTCGTTTTCTCTCATCTCGCTGTTCATGTCCGCCATTTCCAACAAGTTTTAAAACAAGTTTTAAACCAAGTTTTAAAATTTTTACGACTTTTTTGTGTTGCATACGACTGTCGTAAGCAAGTTGTAGGGCACGATTCGGGTAGCAGGGAAGGCGTCAGCAAGTTGCATACAACGATCTTAAGCAAAAAAGGCATCGTGTAGATAGGTCTTAATGACTAAGTTCGGCGTGTCACGTCTTAGCAATGCAATATAATTTGAATAACTAATTATGCTAATATATACATTAACAGTATTGCTTAATTTTTATATTGCACTCAGTGATGGTTGCTTTTTCCAGAAAAATGAGTTTATACACTTTACCATCAACCTGCATCATATCACTATTTTATCATATTAATATTAATACTCAATACAAGTACGCTTTATTACTGCAGATATTGTTACTGCAATATTTGCCTTTTAGGCTCAAATGAATCCACATCTCTATGAACAAAAGAGGCAAATTGTCCTGGCGGTGCATCCTCTAAATCTTTCTACTTAAAAATTAAAATGCATCTATAGGCCCTCTAGCAGGAATCAAACCTGAAGCTCTGCGATTCCGGTCCAGCGCTCTAACTAAGCTACAAAGTCTAGGTGTCGAGCTCTAACCGCACGTTCATGTATATATACGAAAGTAAGGGTGCTGTTTGGATTCCTGCCAGAGGGCCTGTACTTGCATTTTTCACAACTGCCCATGGACCCTGGTTAGGACTCATAAATGTATAAAATTTATACTCAAAATTTTTATCTACAAAACCTTTCAACAGATAGTTCTATGGAGTGAGATGCACAAAATCCTGTCTTTATCAAAAGGCTAAAAGCCATTTATATTTTGTCTAAGGTTAGCTATAAATCTGTAGTATATTTGACATTTCATGAACGAAAACACACTTATGTACAGTATATTAACTTGCTCTATAATTACAACTATGAAAATATAATTGTTGATATATAAAACATAAAAACATATATAAAACAAACAGTGAACTTAGCCGATAGATCAGGGTAATAGACTATTATTAAATAGTCAAAAAATATGTTACAATTTACTTTAAATTTATGTCATTCCTGAAACAACTTTAACTTAAATAGTTATGTTTTATTTACATTGTACAACCATAATATCTTTAATACTCACGTTTACCTATAAATATTCTGCATATTCGTCCATGTTTGTACAAGTTTATATATTCTGGAATTATTCCGCCATATTGGAAAACATTTACGGGATTTACCAAGCCCGCGAGCGCCTGCTTTGCAGGCTAGAAGACAATTTGTGCCAGTCCTCTCGCGCGCGTCTAGCTCGGTGACCTCACGGAAATCAAAAGCGTGCACAGAGGATTAGGGACTAGTTTGAGCGCGGAGCGCAGTGGAAAGAGCCTGGGTACGAGGTTGATCTATGACTAGCAAAGGCAATCAGTTCCAGAAGCATGCGTAGGCAAAATAATGAGATTGTTTACATTTCTTGTTTGTTGGATGGACAAATATATTATCAAAAGATTTTTCTATAACTACTTGCTTGGCGAAGATTAAACGATTAAATTTGCCCTAAGAAAAATTAACGAAGAAATTACATGTGGAGAACTTATTCCAAAATTCCACCAGTCAGTCCTCGAGTACGCCACAATGTGAATGTGCTAGTCAGAGTCAGCTTTATCCACACCCATCCCCCATGGCCAAACAAATTAATCCACCGAAGCCCGAATTATAAACAAAATTATGTTCCAGAAAGTAAAGGAAATAGCTTGTTGTAGGTTTAATTGATTGATAACAATTGATTGAGACGAAGTTAAATTACACACCATATAATTGCATTCAATTTCGGAAAACATGTTCACCTATTTAGCAAAGCTTTTGATCAGTAAAGCAACCGATATTTATTATCGTCATGCAAACGTTCAAGGGACTGGCATCATGAGTGAGGTTGGAGCCAGGTTCACACCACTTAAAAAATCTTGAAAAATACACGCCGTTAATTATTGCAGTTTGTGTTCGTTGAATTTAACTCATTTCTACTTTTTAATTACATCTATTGAGTCAGTTTCATGCTTCTGTCGTTTTTCTTCAAAGCTGTTTCGAGAAGACTTTTTAAAACATTCATGTCATTCTTGATATTCTGTAATTCAACCATAACATCTTCAACTTTGGTTTCTTTTTGCGAATCTTTTTCTTCATTTGTTATTTCTTTGACTGGTTCATAAAGAGTGTCGCTCGGAATTTCTTTTGGTCTAAAATACCGTGGAAGCTTTGACAGAGATTTTTCCAACTCGACGTACAATAATGCCTGAAACGATAAAAATCAGTTCCTGATACAGATTTCATGCATATGCAATTGGTGATCTCTCCTTACAAAGAGAGTTTTTCCAACTCGCGTATTGGTGGCTCAAAACCAATCAGATAGCACGAACAATTGCCAAAATTAATCCGCATTGTCTAATACAAGATGGCGGTGAGTTCAGGGACGCAGGCACTCGGGGGCAGGAGGGGCAGCTTCCCTTCTTGCATTTTGCTAGGAGCGACAAGGGGGGGGGGGCAGAAGTGCCCTTTGAGTTGTAAATTACTACATGATAAATCACATTTCCAGTGATGCTTTTTGGGCAAAATCATGAGGTGTGATCTTGAATGTGACCTGATTTAAGTGCGTTTGTTTTCATTGGCAAGTCAACACATTATTGTAGGTTTATATCTTCACTAGGATCTATAGAGGTGCCCCTTTGGCGTGCGTTTGCCCC